CCCCGGTCTTTTGAACAGGGTAGAAGGTTTATCCCTTGTTCCTGTTTAGGATTGGGTTTCCATTTCCTTCTAAAGTCTACTTCAACTCTATACTTCTAACGTCTCCTCCCGGTCTTTTGAACAGGAGTAGAAGGTCTATCCCTTGTTCTCTGTTTAGGATTGGGTTTCCCTTCCTTCTAAAGTCTACTTCAACTCTATACTTCTAACGTCTCCTCCCCGGTCTTTTGAACAGGAGTAGAAGGTTTATCCCTTGTTCCCTGTTTAGGATTGGGTTTCGCTTCCTTCTAAAGTCTTTATTCAACTCTATACTTCTAACGTCTCCTCCCCGGTCTTTTGAACAGGAGTAGAAGGTTTATCCTTGTTCCTGTTTAGGATTGGGTTCAGCTTCCTTCTAAAGTCTACTTCAACTCTATATACTTCTAACGTCTCCTCCTCGGTCTTTTGAGCAGGAGTAGAGGTTTTATCCTTGTTCCTGTTTAGGATTGGGTTTCCGCTTCCTTCTAAAGTCTACTTCAATTCTATACTTCTAACGTCTCCTCCCCGGTCTTTTTTGAACAGGAGTAGAAGGTTTATCCTTGTTCCCTGTTTAGGATTGGGTTTCTTCCTTCTAAAGTCTACTTCAACTCTATACTTCTAACGTCTCCTCCCCGGTCTTTTTGAACAGGAGTAGAAGGTTTATCCCTTGTTCCCTGTTTAGGATTGGGTTTCCGCTTCCTTCTAAAGTCTACTTCAACTCTATACTTCTAACGTCTCCTCCCCGGTCTTTTTGAACAGGAGTAGAAGGTTTATCCCTTGTTCCCTGTTTAGGATTGGGTTTCGCTTCCGTCTAAAGTCTACTTCAACTCTATACTTCTAACGTCTCCTCTTCGGTCTTTTGAACAGGAGTAGAAGGTTTATCCCTTGTTCCCTCTTTAGGATTGGGTTTCCGCTTCCTTCTAAATTCTACTTCAACTCTATACTTCTAACGTCTCCTCCCCTGTATTTTGAACAGGAGTAGAGGTTTATCCTTGTTCCCTGTTTAGGATTGGTTTGCTTCCGTCTAAAGTCTACTTCAACTCTATACTTCTAACGTCTCCTCTTCGGTTTTTTGTGCAGGAGTAGAGGTTTATCCCTTGTTCCCTCTTTAGGATTGGGTTTCGCTTCCTTCTAAAGTCTACTTCAACTCTATACTTTAACGTCTCCTCCCTGTCTTTTGAACAGGAGTAGAGGTTTATCCCTTGTTCCTCTTTAGGATTGGGTTTCCGTTTCCTTCTAAAGTCTACTTCAACTCTATACTTCTAACGTCTCTTCCCAGTCTTTTTGAACAGGGTAGAAGGTTTATCCCTTGTTCCCTGTTTAGGATTGGGTTTCCGCTTCCTTCTAAAGTCTACTTCAACTCTATACTTCTAACGTCTCTTCCCCAGTCTTTTGAACAGGAGTAGAATGTTTATCCCTTGTTCCCTCTTTAGGATTGGGTTTCCGCTTCCTTCTAAAGTCTACTTCAACTCTATACTTCTAACGTTTCCTCCCCGGTCTTTTGAACAGGAGTAGAGGTTTATCTCTTGTTCCCTGTTTAGGATTGGGTTTCTGTTTCTTTCTAAAGTCTTTTCATTCTCTTCCCCTCCCTGTAACCCCTTGTAGCGTTTTTTTTTTTGTTTTTTTTTTAGCGTTTCACCCCAAGCAAGGCGGAAAGCCACTAGCACGCTAAGGGTTACAGAGAGTTGGAGTTAGAGCAAATAGGAGTGATAGAGGAAAGGATGAAGAGAAGGATAAGGGATAGATCAGGGCATCTGGAGACGTTGATTGACATTACATTTAATTAGTTGGAGATTATAGCCATCAGGGAAACGGGAAGAGGGGAGGGAGTTCCACAGGCGAGAGGTGCGAGAGGTGCGAGATATGAAGCTGTTGGAGTAGATGAGACGGCTACATTTAACAGTTTCGACAGTGAAAGGGTGTGAGCGAGATGCCAGCCTAGTAGAACGCATGAAGTTTGGGAACCAGCGAAAGCAGCTCCTCGGAGCAGTTACCGTGAAAGTATCTGTAAAAAAAGACAGAGGGAGGCGACGGCACGTCTGTAAGAGAGCGACTGTAGACGAGATGCCAGATCAGGGCCAATTAAGTTGCATATCCGTCTCTGGATCTTATCAAGAACCTTGGGACAAACAGAAAGGGCTCCAGACCATATATGACAGCAATACTCCATGCAAAGGCGAATGGTTGATTTGTAGATTTGAAGGATCGACTTCGCAGGGAAAAACTTCCTGGTGTGGCACAGGGAGCCAACTTAATGACATTTTTACCATATTTGGAGTGAATAGACTAAAAAAAAATGGAAAGTGTTTTAACTTGACGAAAGATGTACCGTCGAAATCTGAAAGCGTATTGGAATAGCCAAAGGTACCTTCCAAAAGTTAATCAATATATTTAAAAAATCGAGAAAATTTCGTTAGAAATAAAGAAAAAAAACTTCTGAACTGTTACGTAATATCGGTCCTCCTCTATGGCAGTGAATGCTGGACAATCTCCTCACAGATGAAGAAGAAACTAGAGACAACAGAAATGCAGTTCTACAGAAGGATGCCGAGAATGAACATATGAGTAGCGAGGAAGTTTTATTTTCTAGCATTTCACCCTAAACAAGGCAATAATGTCACTAAGACACAAGGCATTATTGAGTGCGAAAGAATATGAGAAAAAGAAAACAGGAGAAAGAACAATGAAAGAACCGGTATTAAGAAGACAGACGATAACGATTGACATTGCAATTAAATTTTCGAAGATCACAAGATGACAAGAAATCAAGAACCTGGAAACGAGTTGCGCAAGTGAGATGTGCGAGAAAGGAAACTATTAGCATGGACTTTACGGTTACATCTAACTACTTCAACTGTAAAATGAAGAGATCTTGCAGCCAATCTCGTACTGTGCTTAAATTAATAGTCTAGGAATCATAGAAGAATATTTATCACAACAATTACCATGAAATTATTTATAGAAAAGGCATAGAGAAGCTACATTACGGCAATGGGAAAGTGACTGAAGCCGAGATGCCAGGTCAGGACCAATGACATTGCAGATTCTTCTATGGATTTTTTCAGGGATCTCTTAATATATAAGAGAAGCAACTGACCAATTGTGGAAATAGTACGCAAAAAAAGAATAAATGAATGACTTATAAATCGAGTGAGGAAAATTGTCTAGTACAACACAGTGAACCCACTTTCCTAGCAGTAGACGTAGCAATTGATTCGATATAATCTTTCCACTTCATTTTCATGGGATACATTGCGAAAGGGGTGTTGAGAGTTGCTAGGAAAATGAACAAAATAAGCCTACGAATAGAAGAATACCAATAAAAATACCAATTAAGAAAGAATACCAGTCAAAAAATACCTGTAAATATACCAGTCAAAAATACCTGTAAAAAACAACAGTCAAAATACCAATAAAAAATACCTGTAAAAAACAAGTCAAAATACCAGCCAAAAATAGCTGTAAAAAAACAACAGTCAAAATACCAGTCAAAAATACCTGTAAAAAATACTGCTGAAAAATAATACTAGTCAAAAAATACCCGTATGAAATACAAGAAAAATACCTGTTAAAAATTAATACTTGTCAAACAAAAAATTCGTGTAAAAATATACCAGTAAAAAAATATATGTAAAAATAATACTGGTAAAAAAAATACCTCTAAAAAATACCAGATAAAAAATAATACTTTTCAAAAAATACCTGTAAGAATACCAGTAAAAATACCGGTAAAATTATAATACCAGTCAAAAAATATCTGCAAAAATACCAGTTAAAAAAGAATACCAGTCAAAAAAAAGTACCTGTAAAAATACCATTAAAATAAATAGAAAATCATAATCTGGTAACCAAGCGACAAGTGCTAAGTAAGTAGAGCAGTTCAACTGCTTATAACGAGATCACTGACCACAAGAACGCATTAATTTGCAGAACGTTCTGGGAAACGAAGGTTACATTCTTAGCAACGTTTTAAAGGCTATTGTGCCCAAGAGAGAACTGAGTGTTTGGTATGCGATGTGTCCACATTTGTTGACGTTTACATATGATTAAGAATTATCGAGGAGACGTGTGCATTCACATAACTTAAAGTCCAAGTAATGTAAATATCTAAGAAGTGTTTTAATAGAAGATGGAAAATATGACAACGAAATCCGAAGGTACATTGGAATAGCGAACGATGCCTTCCAAACATTAAGCAATGTATTAAGAAACAAGAAAGTTTCATTGGAAACGAAGAGTACTGAACTCTCATGTAATATATGTCTTTCTATCTGGCAGTGAATGCTGGACAATCACCTCACAGATAAAGAGACTTGAAGCAATAGAAATGTGGTTCTATAGAAGGATGCTGAGAATGCCATGGACTGAACACGTGAGCGACGATTAAGTTTTAAGAAAAATGGAAACAGAAAGGACACTTATCAAAAAGAGGCAGTTGATATTTCTTGTGCGCAATGTGAGGAAAGAGGGCTTGGAAAATCTGTTACTCATAGGTCATAGTGAAGGCAAATTTTACTAAGGATTACAAAGGACAGAAAGTTGTGAAGGGCCATAATCGCTTTCGCCTTGAACGAACATGGCACAGAAGAAAAATTCATGATTATATCTATATGCTAAAAATTCACTTAACAAAAAAAAACTGTTAACCAGTGTATTTCTGGAGGATAACGCTTTTAAGGCGAGCAGTCGAGGTAATTAAAGTGCTCAATATCAAGAGATAGCGCATGAATAGCAACAAATGAGGTTGTGTGTCAGGGTTTGCTTGACTAATTTGTTTTACGGCCTGTCAACCCTTTTTGGGTTATTTAAAGTCGAAAAATATTTATAGATTATATGAGTTTGCTTACGGTAGCTGGTGTTCCCTGCGGTCTCCCATCTACTTACTGACCGGGATCGACACTGCTTAACTCCAGAAATCGAACGAGAGCCAGCTGTGTTTTCAGCGTCATTCCTATTTTTATCACTTTACATTGCTTTTGGCATATACGGCCGCATCACATTGAAACGCTGGTTCCCGTACGATCAACGAAGTTAAGTCAACGTCAATCAGGTCAGTGCTTAGATGGGTGACCATTTGGGAATACCAAGTGCTGTAAATCTGGATGTGCGGTTGGTTTAATAGATAATGGCTCAGAATTGTTAAACCGAGTTCCAATTCCAGTTGTGTTCGTTTTATTTACTTACGCGCAAATACTCTTGGAAAAAGTATGAATCCACCTCTTTCCCACCACCCCCCTCAACTATCGGTTAATTAGTAAGTTTTGTGTCACTAATTCATTATTATCTACCCCCCTAATTATTATAATCTAAAAATATTTTATGGCTTTAAATAACCTGCAATGGGTTGATAAGCCGTAAAAAACGAATCAGCCAATTCATCTTCGTCTACCGACCTGATTATTCTAGAAATCTTATAAGTAGGCACAGATTCAAATCCCGCTGGAAGCCATAGTTTTTCTTTAATAAGATTTATCGAATATTCAGACTGGTAAACGAAAATAAATATAATATTTAAAAAATAAACGAGGAGTCTACACATATGTCTGTATCCACTAAAAATAACGTTTAAAGTGATAAAAATATGTTAGATTAATAAATTTTTAATATCCATTACTTCTTTAGAAATTGCTTTGTTTACGTTTGGATACGAAACTGATCTGATATGAACTTTCGCAAACCTAGAACAAAAAGAGTGTGCTTAAAAGGCAGTATTCATCGTAGATTTATCGACGTCAGCCTTTGTGGCCGAATTGGTTAAAAGCACGTTGGATCTAACTACAATTTCTCCTGCAAAAGTGAAAGCAGGTTCGAATCTTGCCGGAGGGCGAATTCTTTCTTTAATAAGATTTATTGAATATTCAAGCCGGTAGACAAAAATAAATAAATATACTGTTTAATAAATAAACAGAGTATCCACTAAAAATGACGTTTAAAGTGATAAAAATCTGTCGGATTAATAAATAAAAATCGATTACTTTAAAAAATAATTTGAAATAACAAGTAGACTATTTTTCAATAATAAATGCATCAATAGATTTATATCTCCTGCAAAAGTGAAAGCAGGTTCGAATCTTGCCGGAGGGTGAATTCTTTCTTTAATAAGATTTATTGAATATTCAAGCCGGTAGACGAACATACATATGCTGTTTAAAAAAAAAAAATTGTCGGATTAATAAATAAAAATCCATTACTTCTCTAGAAATTACGCATTCCTATACATAACGAAGAAACTTCAATCCTATTTTATTAATATTTGTTCTCCCGGTCTGTTTTGCAATTCCTCGGGGTATCCGGGGTGGGGATTGTCGCAACATAACTATGGACGTGCTGAGTCTGGAACTGCGGGGTACTCAATTTTGTGCGTTGCCAGATCGTTGACGTAATGATGAATTGATGCATTTCCAAAACAAACCACTGCGCGAAGAATTTATAATGGGAAAATCCTTACATTGGGATAATTCCACTCTCTCGGCCCGTGGGAGTCTTTTATCCGGTGGGATGCGTGGGCGGGTTGTAATGGATAGCACCTCGGAATGATAAGTCTTTACATTTTACATTCTTTACATTCACTTACGCACAAAAAGTCTTGAAGAGGTTATGAATATATCTCTTTCCCTCAGATGTGGGTTAAATAGTTAGAGTCGTATGTGGAAAAGTCATTGTCATTCTCAAAAATAAAAAAATAAAAAAAAGGGGGGCACTGCAATATTTATCCGGGGAAAAAAAAAGAATTATTCGTACAATCCAAAAAGGTGTGATAATCATTAAAAAGAAATTAATCAAACAATATATAAGTAAATATATATATGTAAAGCAGCTAAGACACAAGGGGTTTCAGGGTATAGAAGAATTAGAAAACAGAACATTACTAAGAAGCAAGAAGAAAAGAAGTGTAATCAGGAAGACAGCAAATAGCGATTGACATTGCATTTAAATTTTTCGAGATCCAAGTTAACTGGAAAGTCAGAAGCCAGAAGAGAGTTCAGCAACCGAAAAATGCGAGAGAAGAAATTGTTAGCATAGAACTTACGATTACATTTAGGCAATTCAAGTGTAAAATAATGAGATCTTGTCACCAATCTCGTACTGTGTCTAAAAAGTCTAACGGCGATAGAGGAAAGTACATCAGAACAATTACCATGAAAGTATTTATAGAAAAGGCACAGAGAATCTATGTTATGACGGTGGGAAAGGAACTGAAGTGGAGATGCCAGGTTAGGACCAATGACATTGCAGATTCTTCTTTGAATTTTATCATCTTTATTCTTCATTTCTAATTTGTGCATTTTATTATTTTATCGACGGTGGTCGACTTACAAGAAGAATTTTAGGATGTGACCCCGGAATATTTTTAACCAAAAATTTTTTTGAGCAAATTGCAGTACGCACTCACTCTGGTGTTCTTTGATGGAATTGTTTGGTTATGTGTATTAGACGATTTTTATACAATTGAATTGCATGTGAAAACTGATTCCGGGCGGAGTGGGCTGATGAGATTTCCTACAGACCTGGCGGCCATGATGACGGTGTCAACAAGTGCTGTGGATTGCATCAGAGTATGAACGTGACACGTAAAAATTCTGGCAATCTTCTGCAGCTTGGAAGTCTTTCTCGTGCCAACGGATGTAGTTTCATTGATTTGTTTTCTTACGGATTATGAGACCTTTGTGGACTATTTAAAGACGAAACTCTTTTATTTTACGAGTGTATATTCCATTATCAATTTTTGTTAGAATTACAATAATTTTTCAAGATACAAGTTCTACTATTTAACTCCTAGCTGGGGGAGAAGATGGATTCATATCTTTCCCAGGGATAAGTGAATGTAACAAACTCGTAAGTGAATGTAACAAACTCGTAAGTGAATGTAACAAACTCGTAAGTGAATGTAACAAACTCGATTGGAATTTCGAACTCGTCTCTGCGATTTCTCATTCCGTTACCCATAAAAAATGTACAATTAACTTCTATAATTAATAATATAATATTCAAATCAATTCTATGTTATATATATATATATATATATATATATATATATATATATATATATATATATATATAAGTGAACATTGAAGTCAGACGACAGTGTGTTTAATGCTTGAACGCAATCGCCAGGCTATCAATGTTTACTTTCATATTTATATTCGCTCTATCCCTGATATTGAGTACTTTAACCCATAAATATAGAATAACTTAAAACTATATTTTATCATATATATATGCGTGTGTGTTTGTGTGTGTGTGTGTGTGTCTATCTGTCTGTGTCTGTGGGTCTGTGTCTGTGTGCGTCTGTGTGTTTGTGCGTGTGTGTAATGAAATGGGAATTCTGATAAAATGATTAAAATGAGACTTTTCATATTTAACATTAGATTTTGTTCAACTTCTTATTTCGTCCGTAAAAAAAATTTATGGTTTAACAACCCGTTGTAGATTATTTAAAGAAAGAAAATATTTTTTATAGATTGAAAGGTTTTTGTTTTTTTTAGATGATAACGGTTTTAGTGATACAGGTCTAACTAATTAACCCAAAGCTGGGAGGAGAAGTGAGTTCATTCTTTTCCCAAAGTTATTTGTGTATAACGAACCCAGCAGGAATTGCAACCCGGCTCTTCGATTAAAAATTCTGAGCCATTATCCATTACACCACCCGCGCATCCAAGCTTACAACACCTGTTATTCCCTATCGATCACCCATCCGGTGCGAATAAAAGTAAAGGTAAATAAATAATGACCAATCACGACGTTGCTTAACTTCGGTGATCGAATAGGAATCGGTGTTTCAACGTGATGTGACCGTAAGCTTGAGCGTGTCTGTGATGCGGCCTCAAAAAGCCCCTGTCCGATATGTGGACCATACATTCTCCGGCTGTGATGTATGAGAAACCTTACCCTTTTCCTTAGAGCTGTTGGTCATATGACCGTCTCGTTTCTAACTCTGCACCTGGATTCCTTTGTTGGTCTTGGGTGAAATTAAGGGCCAAGCCTATCCCGGAATAATGCTACATGACGCGCGTACATATGTAAGTGTATGTGTTAAAACGACTTCTGGGCCAAGATGGCCAAGTTAACGTTCAAACAGTATCTAAGTCAGGTTGTCTGTTACGGATAAAAGGCCCACCTAAAAAAAAGAGAGAGATCTTTGTTGGTAACATTATGGCTATCAATGTAAAGAGATCAGTACCTGATCAATACTGATAAATAAAAATACTCACTGACTACTATGAATCCCTTTATCTGCGATTTTTAAAATTGTTATTTCGAGGCTCAATCAATATGTCATGCATTAATATAAAAAAAAAAAGAGATGAATTATCAGTAGTTAGGAATTAAGGCTTGCGTATAAACACGTTCTCACAAAGAAGGCTGGAGAACTAATCAGTCAAAAACATAGTATACTTATTAGAACATGATAAATCAACGAGGCGTCTACGCATATATGTGTATCCACTTCTTCTTCTAAGTCCCGTGACTCCCCCGGACGTATGCGATCATGGCTCTCCACAATTTCAAATCCTTTGCAGCTCTTAATAAATTTTGTCTTTTCGTTATTTCTCCGAAACCTTGATCCACCATTCATTTAAGCTCAATAAGTATTGACGCGTTGTTTTTCTATGACCCTCTTCCTCTCAATCTGCCCTGTGAGTATCAGATTTTCCAAGATATCCTTCCTCATTATGTATCCCAGAAATTTCAACTGTCTCTTCCTGATGTTAAGTATAAGCGTCCCTTTTCTCTAAAACCTCGTCGTTGCTCACATGTTCAGCATCCTCAGCATCCTTCTGCTGAACCACATATCTGTTGCCTAAAGTATCCTCTTCATCTCTGAGGAGATTGTCCAGCATTCACTGCCATAACGTTTGTTTGATTTTGTTTAGTGACATATCAAGTTCTATGGGTTATTTAATGGCGAAAGCTAAATATTTTGTACATCATTGTATACTTTCAGAGTAAAGACATGTTTTTTAAATATATATTTTGTAGATCATAAAAAGTATTCTTTGTAATTTTACTATAAAAATATATTTTTAATGTTGCATTTATTATCACTTTGCTATAAAAATGAATTGTTGGTCATTTTATTACGAGAGTATAGTGT